CCACACTATAGTGTGAATCAATAGTTATCCTGATTGCAATAATCAGACAGGTGGACAGAAACACACGGGGCATAGCTCTGACAACTGAAAAGCCCCCACGGTGGCTAGACCATGTCTTTGTATTTCATTGTTAACGGACATTGCTGGTCCATTATACTTTCTGGGACTGTCATTGGAGAAGAATCTATTTCCAAGGCTTCAGTTACCTTCAATCTTAATCTCTTTATTTTATTTATCATGTTTGAAGTGGTTTTTTTCTAACCTGGCTGACCTCTTAGAGGCTACCTATGCAGAACCGATTATTCTTGGCAAGCCTCCTGCCTTGGCCTCCAAAGGGTTGGGATTATAAGGCATGTTCCTTCCACCAATCCTGGCCTCTTCTCACCTCTCTAAGACAATAAATACTGTAAGGATCAGAGTCTCATCAGTGTGTTCTATGTGAGCCATATCATCAGGAAGATTGGTACAAAAGCAGGATCTTGGGGCCACACTAGACCCCCTGATCTCACCTGCACATTTTGGCCAGAGAGCCCCAGGTGACTTGATTGTACATTACAATATCAGGAACGTCCATCAGTAACAGCTGCCTCAGTAGCAGGGTCCCCGAATCTCCTGATGTGAATGCCTTTGTCTATGAAGACTCAGGAGAACTTCCTGGGACAACTGCGAAGGGGATGGGGGTGATGCATTGGAGCACCGCTGGGGTGTTAAATCAGGAAGCGATTTGCTGATTAGGTTAACTAAGTAGATAATCTAGATCTATAGGCGTGGGTTCAATTAAGTGGACTAATTAATGAGTTTTGAACTTAATATCTTGATTCTATGCCTAGAAACAGATGGGTTTTCTCTGATAACCAAACGACTCCTCTGAAAAGAAACGGCACTCGTCGTGGCAAATGCTTCTTTTTACTTGGCGCAGTCCGGTGGCCTAAGCAGGGATTTCAAAAGGCTCTCTCCTGGTTTCTGTGTTCTGTTCCCATCCCAGGGACAAAGCAAGTATTTGCTTTTAGCCCCGTGAACACCCAAGCACTTCGCAAATGTTTCCACAAGGTCAGCTGCCCTTTGCGGAGCCTCCTGGGAACTTTCTTTTGGTTACTGACCCTCAAGTGCATGCAAACTTTTATCTGTGGAGTCTGTGGAGGTATTTGTCACCTCCCATCTCCCATCCTTACAGGAGGACGACCCAGACCAGAAATCGAGCTTGAAAACCCTTGTCTCCAGCTCTCGGGCTCGTCTCAAGATCTGCTCTTGCGGCTTAATCGACTTATTGATGCCCTAGGAGGGAACACACACACACACACACACACACACACCCCACATACACACACATACACCATATATAAATACCACACATACACCACACACACACATACCACATATACACACCACACACATACCACACACACACCATACCCATACACCATACACACACCACACACACACCACACATACCACATATATACACACTCACATACGCCTCATACACACCCCACACATACACACCCCACACACCCCACATACCATACACACACACACACCCCACAATACACATCATGCAAACACACACACACCATACACATACCACATATACACGCACACATACTCACACATTCACACACACACTCTTTCATATACATGTACATACTCACACACACACTCACAGTCTCTCTCACACAAGTAACACACACACACAGTCTTACACACACACACACACACACACACACACACACACACACATCTTGTCTCTTCCTATTTCTCTACTGAATTTTAGAGGACTGGAAATTCTGAAAACAGTGACTTCCCGTCTGGAAGCGTCACTGAAGCTGTGTATGCGGCCCTGCAGGGACACTTCGATGAGAAACGTTGCATGGAATTTTGTGCTTTCTTCCTTGGCTTTACGCCGGTTCAGCCATCTTTCCCCAAATGCTTTTCGTAAGGCCACCACAGTGCTCAATTCACTTCTCACAAGTTGCTGGCTGGGTTTAATGACTGGAACGTTTAGCCACACACTACATTGAATAAAGGCCACACTCGGGTGTCGTCTGAAGATAAAAATCGGTCAGTGGTAAAAACCTGTCACTTCAAGGGAGTGGCCATGGGTGCTCCTGCCAGCAGGTTTGGTTTTCGCCGTTCATGCAGAGAATGTCTCATGAATGTGCGCATGGATGTGAATGGGGAAAAAACCTGTATCTTGCTTCTATGACACCTGGTTCCACAATATCGTGTCACAGAATAGTTTTTAAAAATCAAAATTAAATAGGCCGATCTCTCCTTATTTTTGGTAACCTGCCTCTCCTCTAACATATGGGCTATGACCTCACTTCTGCTCATCAAACCTGAGTCCTCTGCTTGTCGCTTATGGTTTGTTTCTGCTTTTTCTCTTTCTTCTTCAGAGAAACATGGGCGGTTGTTGTTGTTGCTGTCATTATTATTATTATTATTATTATTATTATTTTGTTATTGTTATTAGTAGAGTATTTTGGAGCAGAGGACCCTGGCTTTCTGCGGCGACTCTTGTGCCTTCCTAAATGCACTTGATTTAGCTTTCAGCATGTAATTACTGCCAAACAAGTTAATTGCTTTATAAGAGTCCAGAACTGTCTGGCTAAATTTGCTTTCATTTACCAACCTTCATCCCACATCAACGGCTCAACGTAAACACAAACGATTGTTAATGAATGCCTAATGCCACATTCATTAGAAAATCAGGTTAATGACTGACAATGACTAGCCCCTCCCCCACGGGCTTGTTGATGACACCAGCCTTTTATTTGAAAATAATTTCTACCTGTGTTTTGAAGGTTCCAGGAGAGGCTGTCTTAGAGAGTTGATAGTCCTAATCTCGGTGGCTTCCCTCCAGTAGATACCTCCCAAGACACCACTCTGGAGATAGCAGACACAGGCAGTCATTTGTGTATCAGTTATACATCAACAAGACGTTCTACTTTTCCTTGTTTTTAAAGGACGAGTGTGTACGGTTGGCTGCCAGGGAGCCTCACTGTTTGGGAAGCACAATTTACAGGGACGCTGTGCACATATGGAGATACTGTTTTCCTGTCACAATCATTCTGAGCAAGGCTACTCCATTGTACCCTGACATGAGCGCAGCTTGAACAAGCAATCTGAAGTCAATGTCAGAGCCATGTACTAAGGGTCCTGCCCGCCTCAGGCAAAGGCTCTACCTAGTTGGAAAACCCCAGGTGCATGGGTGGAGTGAGTACAGAGATTGGAGACGGAGATCCATGTTGGGCATGGGACTTCACCTGGGTCCATTCTTTAAACAGGAGTCCATCCTTCCTGCACAGACAAGGTGGTCTCCAGGTTCTCCAAGGCAGACTTCTGGGATCTGAAGGGTGTATGTGTTCCTTGTAACTCAACAGAGAGTTAATAGTCCAGGCTTGGTGATGCTGTATTGGCCCTTCACTATGTCGGGCGAGCTGAAGTAACTTCTTCACCTAGTGGGCAAGTGTTGCTAGTTTGGGATTCCTTCCTGGTTCTCACCTGTGTTCTTTAGTCCTGCTTGTTGTTTGTCATGTACAGAACTGACACCAGGGCTACCATGTAAAAGACGTGTTTGCTTGACTTCACCGGCTTGCACCAATGCCTATACTTACGCTGTGTTTATAATCCTCACTTTCAAGGCCCTTGGAAATCTTCTTCCTCATCCATATACTCCCTCTAGATTCAGGAGTTTTATTATTTTTTTGGCTGCCTCAAACCTTTGACTTCTCTTGTCCTTCAGTCTCGGTTTTGGGTTTCAGGAAGACCATCATTTCTTCTTGATTTTTGTTGAGCAGGAAGAAGTCTGTTTCCCAAGTCCACACCATCTCCCACCTTTGCCTCTGCATACATCGCCTGCCTTTCTCCTCCAGGACACCCAGTTTTACCGCTCTTCCCTACACGAGTCTCTGTGACTATCCCTGTTTTAAATCCTGCTCACCCCAGCTGGAGAGATGCTCCATGGTTAGGAGAATTTGCTGATCTTGCCGAAGACCCAGGTTTAATTCCCAACACCCACGTCAGGCAGCTTGCAACCACTGATGTCTCCAGTTGCAGGAAATCAGAGCCCTCTTCTAGCCACGCTGGGCACTTTTATACACACGGTACATGTACACACACTCAGGCATATACACCTCCACATAAAACTAAATCAACAAATAATACCTTTAAATCCTTGTCACTTTGGTGGAAAGCGGAAGGGCCACCATTTTTCACTTTCATCCCCATATACTTAACTTGGGCCTGTGTGTGTGTGTGGGAGGAGTACTCTTCACGGTACCTGGACTGAGTTTAGTAAATGCTGGGTCAAGGGCTCTGAACAGTGTGACTAAATGAAAAACATCAAATTGAAAACAAGAAGTTAGGAAACCAGTCCTGATAGTAATCCTAGGAAGGTTTGACATTTTCTGGAAAATGTCAAGGTTCTCCCCTACCCCGAGATCCTCAGGTTACCTTCTCTGGCTGCCCTGAGCAATCAGATTATATGCATTGCTAGTTTGTTTTGAGCAAATTTTTCCCATGTCAAGTCCGCATAAAATACAGCTGTAAATTAATGACTTCCACCAAGGAGTATTCATTTCTGACTAATGTCCTTGGGTGGTTGACTTTGCATATATAATCATTTGGGAATGGCTCAGGATTATATGGCAAACGCCAAAAGTGTGTGTCACAGGGTGTACCAGCTGGACTCTGTTTCAGCTGATTAAATCTCAGGAGTCATTTTCTCCTCTATTAACACACCAGCATCAAACTTTTAAATTCATTCGTGAGGTTCTTTTAAACTTCCTGTATGCGACTTCATCTGGACTCTTAAGGGTGGCAGTCGCATTTGGAGTTTGCCATGGTTCCCATGGAAACTGGGCCAGTGTTCTGTGGGTTATCGGGTACTCACGGCATGAACAGCCGTTTGAATCAATTAGCGTCTGAGCCGCCCCAAACTCATGTCTCAGTGATGAAATGGGTCTGAAGTGACGCTTAATGCCTTCTTCCCTCTCTTCCAGAAGTCCTTTTGCTATATTCCCATCGTGAGCAGTGTGACCCTGTGGAAGAGAGGCTCATCCCATACAAGAGTGAGTAAACAGAATCCAGCTGCCTGGTACCGCATCTCTAATGTCCTTTGTGTTCCATAGCTCGGCACATGGCATTTATTCCTTTGTACTTATTTTGGAAATTATAACTGCTAATTATTTGTGTTTTAAACCCCTAAATACGAACGTTAGAAGGTATTTCCTACAGAACCTTGAGTGTGTCTGAGAATCGTGTGAGCCCTTTGCTCTTTGAGCACACAGATATATGTATGTACACTAAGGAAAGACTCATTTGGTTAGCAAGACTAGAAGCACATACTCGATACCTTTTTCGTGCCCGAGTATGTCACAGTTTAGGGGGTCTAGAGGATATACCAACATTGGAAAATCTCTCTCTCAGCAGGCTGCTTTTACTCCTTGGTTGCTAATGGCCCACTCATGGAAGGGCAAAGTGAATGTCTATCTCAATGTGAGATATTCACATCCCCCAGATGTGAATCTCTGCCTCTCTAAGGGTGTACACAGAGAGGGTCGCCATGGCTAGCAGGCTGGTTCCATGGTCATGGAGCCCTGGTGGCATCCCAGAGTTAGCTGTACCTGAGCTTTGTCTACAAAAGCAGGACTGAGGAGGAGGAGATTTTGCACTGAAATGCACAGTGTCAGATCGCTCCATGACTCCACGTCCTTTCTGTTTGCCACGAGGGGAATTGCAACATCTTCTCAAGAGGACTCCAGAGTCCAGACACACTGACATACCCACTAGGTCCCAGGCAGGTGAATGAGGCTTGGGGGCGATACTAAGATAGTTTTACCTTCTAGTTTTCCCTTTCCAAAATTTAGTAGTTTCAGGCTTGTCAGGGCTTCAAGGTGAGACCCTTTCTCAAACAAACGAACTAACAAACAAGCAACACACCCACCACCAACCACCACCAATGGGACAAAGAAAAATTTGGAAATAAGAAAGAAGAACAAAATCAAGCAACAAAACCTCCATCACAGTTTGCCCCCAGTTGGTGCTTCCTCCAAAGTAGGGTGCCGTGACTGGAAATAGAATTCTAGGAGTAACCGGAGGTGTAAACTCACATTCGAAGATTATAAAGAACGGGGCCAACGCTGAGAAGATGGAAACATGGCCTACTTAAAACATACAAACACATCCATGACCTGATTTTATTCCAGTTCTTTCTGCACTGGGGCAGAGGGCCGAGTCTACAGAAAACACGGGCAGTTTTCTGTTTCAAGTCATTGGCCTCCTAAGGATCCATTCAGCTAATGGAGTCTATGACTCACAGGAGGGTTTGCAGGGAAGGGAAGAGACTTTAGGACAATCCCTGATGGAGGAGTGTTAACTGTCTGTGTTACTTTCATTGGTTAATAAAGAAACTGCCTTGGCCTTTTTGATAGGTCAGCCCTTAGGTGGGTGGAGTAGACAGAACAGAATGGTGGGAGAAAGAAAGCAGAGGCGGTCAGATGCCATGACTCTCCTCTCCGAGACAGCCGCAGGTTAGAATCCTCCTGGTAAGCCACCACCTCGTGGTGCTACACAGATTATTAGAAATGGGTTAGATCAATATGTAAGAGTTAGCCAATCAGAGGCTACAGATAATGAGCCAGACAATGTTTAAATGAATACAGATTCCGTGTAATTATTTCGAGTGTAAGCTAGCTGGGATCCGGGCATCAGGAAGCGGCCCACCGCTCCTTCTACAAATCCCCTTATGGAGGCCATTCCATTAGTGTGCTAAAACCTTTAGAAGGCGAAACTTCTTAAAGGGGGGGTCAGAAGTCCCTCTGCTGGGAGAGGTGTGTTCCACGTGGCAGTCCTGCATTGCCTGTACAGATTCAGTGACACAAAGCTTGTTGACAGTGGACTCCTGGACACCCCTCTTTTCCTCTGGATTTCAGCAAGGAGTGGTGGGGTGGTGAAGTCTTGTCTGAGCCCTGGGTCTGTGTTTTTGGGGTTCTCAGTTGGATGGGCCCCTTCCTTCTTCTTCCCTCTCTGTGTTGATGTGGTTTGTGCATTGGAGGAATTACAGAGACGGTAGGAAAACCTTTTAAGATGTTTCTCTTTAAAACACTTCTATGTTGCCATACTTTAGAGCTACACTCTATGCTAACTCATATACTTTCTTCCCTACTATATATCACATCTGTGGTATTCTGTATTGTATATCAAATACTGTATAGCATATAGCACTTATAACATATGTCATATATGGGACACTATCATAGGTTAGGTTACACATCAGACGCCCTCTGTCTGACCAGCATCAGAATGTGGGTGTCTCAGTATATTGTCCTTTTTATATTGTGTTCCCTGAGCACCAAAAGATGATCAAATGGCTGTTATAAAAGCAACAGTAAAGAAAAATATTTTTGCCTCTTTGGAAATTTGTGCCTGAATTCAGTACAGATATTATAATATGACAAACAAAAAATTAAAAAATACATTTTTTCAATTAAAATTCAAAATTTTTCTGTTGCTCCCAAAGAGTCAGCCACACTCAGTAACTGTTTTGATAAAATGTCAAATGCCAGGAACTATTATGGAGAGAAAGAGAAAAATATGTAGCTCATCCTTTGGAGCTAGCAATACTTTTAAAATGAAATAGATCGTAGATCATAATAATTTATAAAAGATATTAAATGGAGTGCTAGCAAGTTCAAATTCAGTCTGTAAAATGAAAGCACATCCTAACTAGTTAGGATTAATTCTAATGACAGAGAATAGTTTAATATAAAAACAAATGTGTAAAATACGTACTAATAAACCAAATGAACAGAAACATTCCCATTCCCATGGACATTTACACTAATTCGTTGGAGGAAAAACTAAAACTGTTTAGAAAACTAGGGTTAGGTGAGAACTTTTTATTTAAATTTTTTTGTACGATATATTTTGAACATAACCTCCACTTCCCCCAACTCCTCCCAGATCCTCCCTACTCCCAACTACCTACCCAACTTCAGGTTCTCGCTCTCTCTCTCTCTCTCTCTCTCTCTCTCTCTACCAAACCAAAAAAGCAAAAGCCAATAAGACAAAAAAAAAAAAAAACCAATACAACCCCCCTCAGATGAAGAAGAAAGGCCACACACACCACCGCCGCTGCCACTACCAACAGCCACTACTACAATTATAATCCAAAAAAGCCATGGAGTCCGTTTTGTGTTGGCCAATTACTCTTGGGCATCAAGCCTGATCTGGATTGTGGTTGATAAAACCAGTGACATCCAATGGAGAAAATGTCCGTTTCCCAGCAGGTGTCCGTGGTACATACATAACTTCTTGGTTATGGGTAGGACTTTGTGTCATTTCTTCTTCTGAGTGCTGGAATTTAGTCTGGCTGAACCTGTGCAAGGCCTTTTTCTTGCTGTCCCAGTCTCTTTGAGTTCATATGTGTATCAGCCCTGTGGTGTCTGGAAAGATGCTCTTTCCTAGGAGTCACCCCCCACCTCTGATTCTTACAGAGATGTAGAGAAGCAGGAACGTCACACACTACAGAATCGCATGGGAGAACATTTAACAGTTTAACACAGTTGCAGACTCAAAGAGCTGTAACTCAGCCGTCCTCACCAGCATGGAATTAATAGTTGGTGAAGACACATAAGGGCTGACTTTTGGAGGCGTGAGTTTTGCAATGAATGGGATGCTAAAAAGACAGGTCCATCAGCAGGAGAATGGCCAAGTTCATTGTGGCATACTTAAACAATGTTGCAGCTGGTTTATGGTGGACACTACACACAACATCAAGGATGGCCTGAATGACTTAATGCAGAATGAATCAGGCCAGAGAATCAGGTGTGTGTTGTTTAATGTGATTGCTGTGTCCATGGAGGGGATACATTTATACACTCTGGTGTTTTCTTTCTGGTTGAAAGCTATCTGAGATGTAGGCAAAGCAAACAGATGGTGGTAAAAATACATTCTGGGTCAAAGCTGGATTGAAGGACTTAGTGATGTTTCCAAAAACATAAAAGCGCCGTAGTCTGCTTACAGTCTCCAACTGTAAGCAGTTCCACTGACATTGTTCACCATGACTCCGAAGTCTTACACAGGCCACAGGCTAGTCGCCACTCTTCTCTTGGCCTCCATGGTTCTATTCAGCTTCCAAGCACACTTCCCTCTTGGACCCTTCTTGTCCCGTCTACCTGAAATGAGCGTACCTGGAATGTTTGGTTGATGTTTTTCTCAGGAGTCAGCTCCACTTGTTGAGGGCCAGTAGAGCTGGTCCATGGGACATCCAGGGGTGAAATGTTCCTGTGCAAATCCACTGAGAATGGCTCATCAGTCAGTAGGCGTCAAAGGATTAGAACAGTGCTATGAAAATCTTAATTGCAAATACCTTGCAGTGATGATAAAAAATTGAGTGTCCATATTCACTCTGCTTATGTTTATGTCTGTATCATGACACTTAGTAGACATCACAAGTTACATTAATGTATTTATAAATTATAAATATATCATAGTCTACATATCTCACTGAATTTAAAATATATAAATAAGTAAAAGCCGAAGAGGACATATTGCTTCATATCTATCCATACTGTTTTCACAGTTTCTTTGATGGTGCTGTGGGTCAAATCCAGGGCCTCATGCTTGCCAGCCAGACATTCTACCACTGATTTTATAGAATTTTGAAGTGAAAGGAGTGAGGGTGTGTGCAAATAACTTAAACCAAACATACATGAAAATGCTGTAAGGATGTTGCTGTGGGAGAATGCTCTTGTACTCTGTAAAGATTTGTCACTCATATTAATTTAATAAAATGCTGACTGGCCAGTAGCGAGGCAGGAAGTATAGGTGGGGCAACCAGACTAGGAGAATTCTGGGAAGAGGAAAGACAGATGTGCAGTCGTCATCCAGATGCTGCCTTGCTATTGGCCTCTCATCCCTTCATTTAGTACCATCAGGTGTTTTAGACAGGCACAGTGACAGCGTCACAGAATTAAACAAATGCAGCAAAAACAAAAGTCACATACCTGAAAATAATATTCCCCAACATTTCCCCTTTTAAGTTTCTAAACAAAAATGAAAAAAAATT